GATATATATATATATATATATATATATCGTCAAATAGAACTGCCCGGTAAACCGTAGGCAGAGAGGGAGAAGAGGACAACAAATGAGGGGCTGTGACAAACTGTTTCGTCGGAGTTTCACCGACTCATCAGGAGGCTATATATATATGGTCAAACAGAGCTGCCCAGTAAAGAGGACAACAAACGAGGGGCTGTGGCAAACCATTTCGTCGGAGTTTCACCTACCTACTCATCAGGAGGCTGAACCCTCAACAGTCTGCAGAATCCCCTAACTGATTACACTGTAAGTGATAATCCACCTTAACCCCGGCTGTGGTTAAGCATCAACGACTGCCCTACAACTGATACCCTGAGGTGGGCACCAACCACTTCCCTCAAGGTACCTGTGGCAAAAGTCAAAGCAGACTATCACGCACCCACACCAGATGGAAAACTCTACAGACTGTGTGTATATATATTTATATATATATTGGCGACCCACAGGTCGTTCGGAATCGGACAAAAAACGGGGGTTAACGGGACCAAACGGCAGCCGACGGCAGCTAACGGCAACAACTAACAACATTTATATTAAACAAAGCGGACAATAAATGGAACTCAGCTGCATGTGGACAGACGTCCCGCCATCAGGCAGGAGGAGCTTCACAACGTCGATGCATGTGCATGTACGTACAGATGACAGATCAAGGCCAGGGATCGAGCTCACGATGGGACCAGACGGCAGCAGACGGCAGCAGACGGCAGCAGACGGCAGCAGACGGCAGCAGACGGCAGCAGACGGCAGCTGACGGCAGCTAACGACATTTATTAAAAGGTGGGCAATAAATTGGACACAGCTACACGGACAGATGTCCGATCGTCAGTAGGAGCTCCACAATAACGGAAGCAGAGCCCCGAACAGGTCGATGAATGAATGTGCATGAACAGGACAGAGCCAGCAGCAGTTCAGAAACGCTGGGTCATCATAGCGCCAGCAGCAGTTCAGAAACGCTGGGTCATCATAGCGGTATCTGGCCCTTTTTCCGACCAGATACAGATATGGTTGGACGGCTCAAGGCCAGGGTTCGAACTCACGACCAAGAGAAGACTTAAGACTTCTCTTCTCCACAGTGCTTCCCCCGAATACAACGTATGGTCGTTACAGCTGTATTTAGACTGAAATATACCCCAAATACAGCTATAATTACGGTAACGTTGTATTCGGGGGAAGAACGTAGCGAGCAGCTGTGATGTCGAAGAAGTTCGAACTAACGACCAAAACGACTTGTCACAATCGAAGTAAGGGAGGGGTCGATCATCAAACTAAGGGGGGGGGAAATGGGTACGGGTATGCTCACTTCTGGGCGCTGGCTGGTCATATACGGACGACAACAGCGGGAAGGGAGCATCATGAGAATGACGAGAAGGCCGGGGATCGACGTGATACAGACGAGAGGGGAAAGGAGGAGGAGAAGGAGGAGAAGGTGGGTGGGTGTTCACATGGCGGCGGCGTTCGACTTGCAAAGACTATGTTGGGCCTCGCTCCACTACTCAGCAAACGTGCAAAAAGAGAATGAATATTCCACTAGAAAATGGAATCTTCCACTAGAAAATGGAAAGCTACACCGCCGTATTCTTTTTTGTCTTTTGTGCATGCGGTGAGCACTGGAGCGAGGGCTTTTGCCCAAGTCCGAACAAAAATCTTCAAACAGGTTGTACAGAAGAAGAACCGACGCTGTGCCCACACCGAGTGTGTGAGGGGGGTGAGGGGTGAGGCACACCCTCCCCTCTGCACCAGCCAGCCAGCCAGCGCCCAGAAAGTGGGCATATCCATACCCATTCCCCCCCCCCCCCTTAGTTTGATGATCGACCCCTCCCTTACTTTGATTGATGATCGACCCCGCCCAGAAGTGGGCATATACCCATTTCCCCTCCCTTACTTTGATGATCGACCCCGCCCAGAAGTGGGCTTATACCCATTTCCCCTCCCTTAACTTTCCGTACTGGCAGCGCAACTTGATGATCGAGAGAGAGAGTTCGAATGCTGATCATTTTTTGTCGAGAGAGCAAATAATAATTACTAACAGGTTGAGAGTTCGACTCCTGTTGAAGTCCGCATTGCCAAAGGAATAGGCCCCAAGCCATCGATAAAGATCGAAAGCACAAAAGTCCATTTCCCACGTCGCCGCCAGCACCTAGGTCCAACTCAACGTGCAAAGGACTGGTGCTCACGGGCCAGTCGAACCCTCGAAAGCACTGGCAAACGAATCGCACTGTCCACGTGGAAGCCTCAGAAGAAGTGCGAAAGAAGAAGAAATGTGAGCTCCTCCTGCATTCCCTGCCACATGTAGCAGTCGTCATGTCCTAGCTCTCCTCCTTTCGTACAATAAAGGACCGTCAAAAGTTCGACGACTTTTGACTGCCATCGTATTGTTGCAAACACATCCCGACGCGTATCGACCGGTTGAACTGCCCTAGCATCCGGCGGGCTTACACGTTTCATCGGATTTCCTGCCCGCCACTCATTCCACACCATTTAAGTAAGAAGAGAGTTGACAATGTCTACGTAGAACAGACACGGTAATGAACAGCCAACAATATCCACCTGGAACTAAGTTTCAAAGACGAGAAAGAAGGAAGAAGAAGAAGAAGAAGAAGAAGAAGAAGAAGAAAAGGAGGATGAATAGCACAGGAATGAAGAAGAAGAAGAAGACGAAGATGTATAGCACAGGAATGAAGAAGAAGAAGAAGAAGAAGAAGAAGAAGAAAATGTATAGCACAGGAATGAAGAAGATGTATAGCACAGGAATGAAAAAGAAGAACAGGAAGAGGAAGAGGAGGAAGAAGAAGAAGAAGAACAGGAAGAAGAGGAAGAGGTGGAAGAGGAAGAGGAAGAGGAGGAGGAGGAAGAAGAAGAATGTATAGCACAGGAAGAAGAACGCAGTGTGGGCAAACGCGACAGAGCTGAATGCAAAACAGAACACTGACGTGACATCCTCTAGGACCCGATCCACAGGCTGGTTAATCTCTCGAAAGAAAATAAATAAATGTAAAAAAAAAAAAAAAAAAAAAAGGTTAAGAAGAGATGACTTGCTACGTAGGCCAGCTCCATGTCCCCCCCTCCGGGCCCTCCCCGCCGCCGCCGAATCTTCTTACTACAAGTACTTATTACTGAAACGAACCCCCCTGCTTGTTGAAATTTACAACAACGACCCCCCCTGCTTGTTGAAATTTATACAACCGTTTCAGACGATCTTCAGACAAAATGGTGCGTTGGATAGCCATCGCGCGAGAGGCCGTTGTAGTCGTAGTAAAGGAAATCCCCTTTCCGGATGTCCTTGATGGAGATCAGAAGAGCAATAGCCTGCCCATCCAGATCGAATCGCACACACCTAACGTTTATTTTCTTCCTCGCTCCTCGACTATGATTATTAATTCCACTAAGGAATCGAGCCACGTTCCCTCGTTTGTCAGGACAAATGACTAATTCCATCGTTGGGTCTTCTGTAAACAGCAAGCCCATCATGCTATCCCCTGCATCACTTAACCTATTCCTCATGTAATCAACGTCCCCGGTGTACTCTGCTATGATCGTCATGTCTGGAATGTGATCAGCGGCCTCCACTACGAAACCCTGTTTAGCGTCGTGTCTGACCAAGAGCGGAGCGCACTCTCCTCTCTTGGTCATCTCCTTGCACCAGTCGTATGCAGCTCTACTCCTCTTGGACATCACCTGCATGCCGCCACGTTCCAGCTTTGCGCAATTAGCAGACCTAGGAGCGAGGCCGGGGACATAAGTGAGGTAATCAGAGAACTCAACGCCAGAGGTGGTCAGCGCCGTGGCAAGCGAAGCCATCTGTTCCAACCGCCGGGCCGGATCCGCTGATGGCCTGTGAGGTAGCAACTCTCTCCTACTCACTCGCTTTTGCGAGAATACCCCTCGACCTTGCCGCCTTGTTCGTTTCGCACCTGAAGCAGCACTCTTCTGCCCGCCAGACTCAGAAGGATGATGATCGTCAGATGACTGAGGTCTTGACACGATTCTGAAGAAGTCGATGATCTTAGTCTGCACCATGGGAAACTGTTTGACGGCGGGTTTTCTGGAGCAATTATAACAGAACCAATCACCCGCCGGAATAGCAACGAGAATAGGACAAAGACAATACATATGATAACCGCGTTCGCACGAATCGCAAATCAACATCTCATGCTCGGCATCACCACGTCGGCACACCTCGCACAAGAGGTCTCCCATCGGATCATCGGAGGACGAGGAGATGACAGTCGGGTTCTCCTCCCTGCCCTTAATCTTCGTCTTCTGCTTCTGCTTCTTCGTCTTCGTCTTTTTCGTTCCCAGTGCCGCTTGCTCCCCTCCCAACCCTCCTCCCCTTCGCTCGCAACAGTTTACCGTTACTGCCCCCCCCCCTTTCACCAGCCCATCCTCCTCCTCCCACTCCTCCTCCTCCCACTCCTCCCCCTCCTCCCCCCCCTTAGCAGAATCTCCTCTTCTTCCGTCCGACAAGCACTCCAGACCTGCGATCACAAATCTAGAACCCCAGTTTCCTCTTGATGAACGCGCACTCGACGCGCCAACCAGATATTCTTCTTCTTCTTCCTCCTCCCTTTCATCCTGTCCCCCTCTTGGAGAGCAACAAGCACGAGGGGAAGCAGGGGGAGGAGGAGGGGGAGGAGGGGGAGCGGAACAAGCCTGTTGACGAGGGGGTGACTTGTTCCGCCTCCTTTTCAGATTACGTATGGTGGCGGGGGAATCCTCTTCTCTGACCAGCCGTTTTCTGCTCGACTTCGCAGCTGCAGCTGTCCTTTCCCCCTCCGTGATCCTTGGCGGCTCTCGACCGGAATCGTCGCTGTCGCACACGACAGCATTGCCATCATCGTCATGATTACTTGCCTTGATGACGCAACAAGGATTGCAGCGCCAGGCTGTCTCTGAGAGGTTAGCACAACTACCAAGGACCACGCACTCGCGGTGAAAGGCGGCGGCCTCGCATTCCTTGCACAGCAGCACTCCGCTGCTTCTCCCAGTCTTCCCATGGCATTGCTGACAGAGGATCCCGCCAGTCGGTTCCCTACTGCCACGCGCAATCCATTCCTTCCCCCGGGTGATAGATACGATTGTTGGGCTGGCAATCAACGAACCCTCCCGCACATCGTTATCAGGCTTTCCACTACAGGAGTGGCTCACTAGATCTATTACTTCTACACTGTCTCGATGATAACCGACACCCCTGCCAGGAGGTCCGACAGCAGCAGCATCAGGACAAGGAGATGAAGGAGGAGGAGGAGGAGGAGGAGGAGGAGGAGGGGGTGGAGGAGGAGGAGAGAGGTCGTGGAGACGGGTATGAGGAGAGGAAGAGGAGGATCTCCCAACCCTCTTGACCCCGCCTTGCACATTTCCACCTCCGCTGACGGAAGAGGGAGGGAGATCTCCATCAAGGAAACAGAGAGAGCGTCGCGCACACGGGCGCATGCCTCCTCCGAGAGAAGGACGAGTGTAATCTTCGTCTTTGCCATTCGCACTGTCGATAAGCTCATCGTCCTTGTCCTCAGGCAGCTGGGATACGTTCCTCTTTTTCCGCCGACGCAGAAGCCTTAGACGCCCTGAAACCGCACTACAAGTCAGTGCTCTCGGCGACGTCGAAGAAGAACAGCGCGGTACCGCCTCCTCCCCTTGCTCCCTTGGCAGAGCAAGCGACGTCGCCGGGCTATGGCAATGCTGACGTGGCAGTCCCGATCCCCTCCACCCCGTGGGATCGAGACAGGTTGACCCCGCAGACGACGGAAAAGCCAATTCTGCGGCATCACGTTGATGCACAAGTTGGCTATGGTGCTGCCTACGCCAGGAAGGAGAAAGCCAAGGGGAGGACGAGCAAGGTCGTCGGTTGGCCGATGCCCGCCACGTGGATTCAACTACAGGGAGAGGAGAGGACGAGAGAACGTTCGGCGATGGCAGGGGGGAGGGGGGGGGGAGAGGCGGCCTCACAGAAAGATGAGTGCGATCCTGAGGCCCCATGTGCACGTGGCACCACCTCCAAAGAGCACGAGCGAGGAGAGAGGCGGCATGGAGCCACCACACTCAAGGGAACACAGCGATGACGACGACAACGGACACGGCAGTTCAGCACAACGAGAGGGTTGTGGCTGAGCAGCAGCGGGTCAACGGGTGAGCGGCGCAGTCAGCCAAGCGGGGGAGCGGAACACGAGCCAGCGGGCATCGCAGCTGATGAGCGCGGGCAAATGCAGCTGATCGGCGGCGGCCGAGAGGGCCGCGGCGGAAGCTGATGAGAGGGCAGCCCCCCGAAGCAACCTCAGGAACCGAAGCCGCGCTCGATGCGGACGGAACAGCCCAGCGGGAATCTAGAAACAGCAGCGCCGACGAGGAGCAGGGACATCAGAGCGGGGAGCGGCGAGCGGAGCGGAGCGGGGAGGTGCGGGCAGGGGAGGGGAGGGGCGGGGGGGTGGCTAGGGAACAGCGAAGCAAGGCGGGGAATGCAGCAGCAGCAGAGGGGACAGAAGCGCACCGACAACGGCTAGACGACAGCACTCCCGCCAATGGTGTTCCCTTTTTTTTTTTTTTTCCTTTTTTTTGGCCAACGGTGTTCGATTCTTTTGCGGCTTTTTGTTCCGTCCTTCTTTTTCGCATGGCGCGGGCGCAAGGGGGGCTGTTTTCGTTACCACAATTCCCGCGCCCAAAAATTTCGAATTCCGGCGGTTCCAACGGCTAGTTTTTGTTTCTGTTGGTGACCGACACCAAGAGGCGCGAAGACTAGCGCCCCGCGCACCGGCAGTTTCCAAAATCCGCCGAATCAAGCCTAAAACCGGTAACCCAAAAAAAAAAAAGAAAAACAAAACAAAACAAAACAAGGCTAAAAACCGGTAACCCTGCCCATACGGGGGCAAGGTCCCACCTGCGCAAATGAGCAGATTTCGGCCGTTGATCTTTGCTATCTACGGTCAGTATCTCTTAATTCGATCGTGCAAGTGGGACCTACCGGTAGGCCCGGGTGAAGGGTACGTACACGAATCTCTCTAACTGTTCGTTCTTTTTTTTTTTTTTTTTTTTTTTTTTTCCTAACTGTTCGTTCATGAAAAGAAGGTCAAGAGTTCAAATTTCAACATGATCTATGCGGCGTCGCTCCACGACTCAGTACATGCACAAAAGACAAAAAATATGGCTGGGTATCTGCCCACGTTCTAGCGGAAGATTTGTTCTCATTTTGCACATTTGGAGAGTAGTGGAGCCAGCAGGCCCACGGTCTTATAAAAATGAAAAATACAACAACGGTAGGCGCTAACCCCTTCAAAAACTTTGCAATCTGGTATGCTACGGGTTTCCCCGTATGCCTATAGATAGGCGTAGTGGTAGGTAGGTAGTGTGAGGAAAAATTCAGAGAAGAGTATAGTTTTATATATTAAAAAAAAAAAAAAAAAAACTTTGCAATTTGCAAATTTGCAAAACAGCCCACTACTTGTAGTGGAGATGAGAACAAACAAACAGGGCCCCAACGTGAAGTGCTGCTACGACCGGGGGCAAGGTCCCACTTGCGCAAATTAGGAGATTTCGGCCGTTGATCTATGCTATCTACGGTCAGGAGCTCTTAATTCGTGCAAGTGGGACCTAGCCCCGGTACGCTACCCGTCATTACACCCGTGGGGGCGAGGTCCCTCTGGCGCGCGCAGTTTTGCATCTGGAGATCGACGGCCATCAATAGAAAAAGCCAGAAATAGGAAAGGCGTACCCAAGAGCCAACAGCCTAGCTCAGTGGGTACACCATGGAACTGCTGAAATACAGACGCGTGTTCGAACCTTGATGATGGAACTTGTTGACGAGTAAAAAACCAAATATTTCTGAATTGCAGACATTTCAAAAAAAAAAGAAAAAAAAAAAAGAAAAGAAACGAAATAGGAAAGGCGCTCAAGTGGGACACGAAGCTTACCCACAGGCCGCTCCCACTTGAGTGCGTTTTTTTTTTTTTTTTTCATTTCTCATTCTCAATTTTGGGCCGTCGATCTCCATTTTAGGCCGTCGATCTCCAGAACCTACGGCCAGCAATGAATGAAAAAAACGAAAAATGCGCCCCCCAGTGGGACTCCACCGAAAGATTCTTAAAACACATGACCGTTGATCTTCCGAATCGAAGGGTCAGAAATCAAGATTCCACGTAGGGGACGGAATCTCGCACCCGCGGGAGGGGGGCCCTGCCGACCGACGAAAATGGAAACAAGCTGCACTATTGCTCGTGTACCCCGGGGCCAAGTTCCACGTACCCGAATTCTTGAGTTTCTGACCGTAGATTAGGAAGATCGACGGTCACACATGAATAATCAGCAAAGAATCAGCGTAACTGGGACTCGGTCCCCGGTAGCTGGGCGGGAGATTCTTTCTGTCCTACCAGTACGCGTACGTTATCGCGGGGTTTCAGAAAACGTGAACAAGACAAGCATCCATCATTGCATCAGCTGAATGGTACCGAAAGGGTTTTGATAAAAAAAACAGGAACGGTATAAACAATAAACATGTACCCGTTAGGAGTAAGGGCCAGATCCCACTAGCCCCTATGCTTCATGTCTGAACGTTGATCTTCGTAATCGAGGGTGAAAAATGAATAATCGAGGGTAGTGGGATCTGACCTTAAGTAAATAGATCTCTACCGTAGTTCGAAGCCTGAACGAATCGCGTGAGCACAATGAAGTTAGGGGGGGGGGGCATCCTTTCCTTTTAAATATTTGAAAAACAAACCGTCAACGGGACAGAGACGATTCACTTCACAGCTCTGGGCGAAACGAAGCTCGAGGTCTCAGGTCCACTAACGCTGTGCGTTCGTGCTAAGGAAGCATGAAGTAGAGACGGCCTGGGACAAACGTTCTCTATAGTACATACCGATACTCTAGGCAAGGACCATCACCGTCTTCACCCGAATAGAACGCCCGGTCATTATAGCCGTATTTGGGGCAACTTTCAGACCAGATGTGGCTATAATGACCGGGCGTTCTATCGGGTGAAGACGGTAGATGGGGGACAATGACAGGGACAATGCCAATGCGCTCATGGTGCTCGCCTACACCTCGCGTCCCAATTGCCGCCTTGACAAGGTCCGTTCGATAGTGATGGAGGACAAATGACAATGTGCTCATGGGGCTCAACTAGGCCTCCACATCCCAAGTGCCCTGTCTACAAGGTTGGTTTGATAGTGATGGGGACAAATGACAATGTGGTCATGGGGCTCAACTACACCTAGCGTCCCAAGTGCCCCGTCCACAAGGTTCGCTCAATATTGGTCGGGGACAAATGACAATTGCTCATGGGGCTCTACTACAACTGGCACCCCAAGTGCCCCGCCAACAACGTTCGTTTGACAGTAAAATGGGGGACAAATGAAAATGTGCTCATGGGGCGCAATTAGCGTCCCAAGTGCTCCGTCGACACGGTTTGATAGTGCTTCAACAGGGGCTGGGTCTCTTTATCCAGCGCTGGTGCCTGTGATCACTGTCCATGAGGGCTGTCCGCCAGGACAGGTGATGACGGCAGGTGACAATGCCAGAGTGCAAGCACACTCCGTGACGGCATCACCATGGAGGACAGTGTGCGTCCTTGGCTGGGGTGAGTGTGCATAGTGTTCTATCCTTAACATCAGGTGGTTGGGCATAGGGTCGGCCATAACGGACTGGTGCCTGTGATCACTGTCCACGAGGGCTGTCCGCCAAGACAGGTAGTGATTGCAGGTGACAAAGCCAGAGTGCAAGCACACTCCATGACAGCATCACCATGGAGGACAGTGAGCGTCCTTGGCTGGGGTGAGTGTGCGTAGTGTGCTATCCTGAACCGCAGGTGGTTGGTTGGGCATAGGGTCCGCCATAACGGAGTGGTGCCTGTGATCAATGTCCACAAGGGCTGTCCGCCAAGACGGGTAGTGATGGCAGGTGACAATGCCAGAGTGCAAGCACCACTCCGTGAGGGGATCACCGTGGAGGACAGCGGATGTCCTCGTAGGGGGTGAGTGTGCACGATGTGCTATCCTGAAGTGCAGGTGGTTGGTTGGGCTATTTGGTCCACCATAAGGTGGGTGCTGCCATGGGCCCTACTCCCAGCACGTATCTATGATGATGGTAGGTGACCGTGCCAGAGTGCAAGCACCACTCTGTGAGTGCATCACCACAGAGGGCAGTGAGCATCCTTGTGGGGGGTGAGTGTGCAATTTGTGCTATCCTGAATCGCAGGTGGTGGGTTGGACTATAGGGTCGGCCATAAGGTGGGCGCTTGCCGTGGGTCCGGTTCCCAGCACGTGTATCTCCCCGGGAATAAGAACAGGGCAATCAAAAGGCGGACTATCCATCTGGCCTGGGCTTCTATCCCTGTCAGATGCTAGGACGCCCTCCTGATGTTAAGAAGAAGAAAGAAAAAAGGGTGGGCCCTGCCGCCGTGCAGGTGGCAGGGTAGCATACTGGATGGATCGAAGACGCCGAAAAGACAGTTATCCTGAGTGTAGCCTGAGTTCTGTAGATAAGACCGCAAGGGTGCGCCAAGACAAATGTTGAGCACTGGAAACCAGAAAAAACAACAACAACATTGAAATAGAAACAAGAGGGGCCAGCCCACGGGGGCGGGTTAGGATCTTGCACATTTCCCCACCAGGTTCACGGTTTCGATAAACACAATACAACCGGCGGCTCTGCCCTTTTTTGTTCCTGATTTCTCCTTGGAAGGGCGATGGCCTTGAGGTATATCACCTTTGAACTGACCGGGTCATTCCATCTAATGCCATATCGGGATCTGAACTCCTCTGTCTGTTTA